AGGAATAATGAAGTCTTAAATAATGCCTGATTGTGAGCTATGTTTATAAAAAGTGAAATAAGAAGTCATTATAACGAATTATACAGAAGGTGAGTAAGGGAGTTCAATTGGACTCAATCAAGTGTCAGCATTGCAGGCTAAAAAATAAAAGTGAGGTAGGGAAGGATGCAGATGCTCGGTTACAAATGCATGTACTTCACTCTTTATCTGCAGCCCCTACACTCTTCAGCAAGCATCTAGGGAAAGAATAGGCTAGCCCACCATACCATGAGATGCCCTATTAAGTGGAAAAAATTAGACTATAAGAAATAGTTAGGATTGCAGCCGGCCATTTTTCTTGTCTTAATGCTTGGTAAATTATCGTCGGTCGCCTGACGGACAAAAGCTCATCCATGATTCATTGGGGTCATTGGGCAATGGGTGGAGGACTTATTTTTACAAATCTAAAGTCACAGCCCCAAGGCAATCCCTCTTCGGTTTCCAGTGAGGCCAAATTACAAATCACCTCGGTTTTATAAGTTGCATAAAATACCCATTTCAGTATTATAGAGGTCCATACAGAAGTAATGTTTTTAAAAGCATCCTTTGACATTTCCAGATACAAATGACTCAAATATTAGGCTAAATATTGTCATGTGCCCTAATCATAACGAAACCAGCAAGCAGAATCAGACTTAAAATCCATGAGTTTAATAAGCAATGACCATTTATCCCATTGACGAAAAAAAATACCTCGATATTTTTTCAGTCGGACTCCATCAGAGAAGAAATATTCACCGGGTGCTTCAGTGGTGCCAGCCATTAAGCCCCCCATCATGGCTGTCGAGGCGCCTAATGAAAGGGCTTTGATTATGTGCCCAGCATTTTGTATGCCACCGTCTGCAACCACGGGGACGTCGTAGCGGCGCGCATAATCAGAGACCTGCAATGAAATGGAGACATTCTTAAGCAATGAAAATAAGGCTGAGCAAGTTGTGCTGAAACCAGACAGCGTCAGCAGGAGGAAAAGTCCCAGCATGTTGAAATTTTGGTTATTAAAAGTGGCAGGAGAGGAGGGCCAAACTTAACGACTTTGAAATGGCCTCGTAAAAAACTCGCTTCCTCACCTCCATCCTGATGGAAAGTCGTCACTGCAGAAAGTGATCTCATAGTAAAATGAAGGAAGTCACTAGTCGGTGAGTCGGCGATTCAGGTGAAGTTCTGATAGTGTGAAAAAGGGCAGCAATCGAAACTATCGGTAGATATTAAACAATAAATCGTTTCAGATCGGTAGATA